GTAGATAATTCTATGACAATTATACTTTGCCCTGCGTACCAATATTTAGAAACTTTTTACAATTTATTTATTTTGTGTTGTAGCTATTAAGATAGTAAGTGAGAATACAGAACGAAGTACTTTTTACATAAATTATAGTTCGTCTTTGAAATCCCGGGACTAAGGAGTGTCACCTGTATGGTCCACATTATCAAGTTTTTGCTGAACTGATTCATAAAATTTTCATTTAAAATCATTATATTGATATTTTTTACTTTATCGTCAACCGACTATTATGGAGATTATAAAATACGCTTTTACCAAATTTGATACGTTGTTTTACGTCCACCATCAACAAGAAATAGTTAATTTTAAAAAAAGCTAATTTTTTTTAAAATCATTATATAGTTTTACCAAATTAATAAGTTATTTAATAACTTATTACGCCGTCAAATATTTTAAGTGTAAAATAGTAATATATCTTACAAATAGCTAGTTTTACATATTTATGTAAAGTATACTATTACTTAAGTCTCTACAGTACAGGATGCTTATCTTCCATCACTCAAAAAATTATAGCTACAAATGGAATTTTCCGAATATGTTTAGTTGCAAACTAAACTGTTCAGTAATTATCCAGTAGATTAGTTTTATTTTAAAGCTGCTAAATCTGCATGAGTCACACTACATTCATATTGATTTTAAGCATTCCAATGTAATTGCAACCATTTTAATTTATTAAAACTAAAATGTTCTTAGTTTTCTTTATTTATTTTGCAATGCACTGCTTTACTATTGATCATAACGTATCCTATTAAAATTGTAGATGATTAAAGAAGCTAGAACTTTAACCACTCAAATTTTCCCCTATGACTTGGAGTTTTTCCAATATTTAGTAGAAACTGAAAAAAAAATTAAGATTATACGACTTACTTCTTAATAACGAAGAATACGGTAAAACTCCTCTGTTACTTTTTATATATGATATGTAAAACACTGTTTTAGGGGTATTTTTAAAAAGCTAGCAGTTAGGTGATTAGAGGTCGGATCTTAATAGTTTTGTTTTGGCAAAAGTTAGTAGTATACGTAGCTGTAGTGAAACCTTAGCAAACTTCTCGAAGTTCTTATTCACTACTATTTGTATTCATTTTCTGTAATTCTGTTTATTGTATATTTTACGATTGACTTTAAATAAAAGACCTCTACCATCCTTATAACAAACCTAATCA